TTCCACTCTCACCCTCTCTTTCTCGCTGCCTGCTGTCACAGCAACTGCTCATTTCTAGCACAAAGCTTAATATGCTGCTAAATGGCATTAAATGGGGTAGCGAATGGCTGGTCGAAAGGGTGCCAAGAGTAGTGCACTACATATTTGATAAGCTTTGCAAGCGTAAATACCTCGACAATGTTTTCTTTCCTTACCATACCCTGTGTCAATTAATGAAGCTATTTACGTTCGTACATAGACAGGCTGGAAGCGAAAAGTTTTTCCCTTATTAGTTCGAAGAACTTAGGAGCAAACTGCCTGATAATCGATATCGAAATATATAATATTGAAAAAAAAAGTGTTAAGCGTCAGCGAAGTACAGAGAAAGACAACTATAGAGTATAGCCAAAAAAAATAACCGATATTTTTTTTACATTAATAAATAATTATCGATAACTTAACATTTTTCTCAAAACATATTTTAAAGCATATTCTTAGACACCAAAAATCTATATATATATACACTTAAACGAGTATCACCATAGAAATCGAAATCGATAAAGCAATGCCAATAAATATCGGTATATATATATAGATATTAAATCGATTTCCTTTCGATAAATTTTTTTTTTTTTTTAATTCATCAAGTCATATCAGCATATATAGACTTTTATATTTTTGAGCATATTTTTCAATTATAGTTCATTTTAAATTAATTTTTTTTATCATATTTGTTCAATATTTCTTTGCATAAATCCATGTGAATGTCCACTTTGTAAATTAATACGATGAATACATATATGTATGAATTGAATTTTTCAAGCATATTATTCAGTTCAATTTAATTGGTTTTTCGTTCATATTCGTGGAATAAACAGCAGCAGCAATATTGATAGCTGTTTATTCCATAGCAACAATTGGGTATTAATCGAATATTTTACAAGGACTTCAGTAAAGATTTAATTGAATATTTTTTTTAAGTACATAGCTTGTGGTTTGAACAGGTGACATAACTCAGCATGCAATTTGTTTTACATTAAAATTGAGCCTGCTTAACATTTTTTTTTTTAAATATTGACTCCAACTTTGGTCGATGTCCAGTTATGTAGTAATCATCGTTTCATATACCAACCTATATACATATAATTGACTAAAACAAAATACGTACATGAATTAAGACTTGAATCAAGTCTGGAAGATATCTTATTTATTTCGAATCAATTTAAATTAAGAGTCAAATGAATATTTGGTTATATTTGCATATTTGAGCTTTAAATAACATATTTTATATTACATTATATTGCTATCCTATCTGAGAACAATTATATGATTCTTTATTCTCATGTCTAATGATGTCTCCTCAGATTTCCTTGAACAGGGTAACTATGCACCGATCAGTTGCAACTGCAGCCACCGTAGCTGATTTTTTCCCCTCTTCTTCTTTCGGCTTCTTCATACTTTGTTGTGTGCGTGCCTGGCGAGAGTAGCTAATAAAGTTGGACAGTTTAAGACGCTGGCTGAATGGCTGGGCAGCAATTAAGCCATAAAAGGCACTAAAAACTGGGTGAGTTACTGTTGACTTCTCTCGTGGAGCTGTTGGGGGCACAAAAAGTTGTGCTTTCTGTCAGTATGTGTGTGTGTGTACGTGCGTGTGTATGTGTGTGTGTATGTGTGTGTTGGTGTTGGTGTCAACAAGTGAAGCATGGCAACAGCGCACTTTGCACTAATCGAACTTTATGTCCTGCTCTTTGGTTCCAAGTTCCATGAACTTTTTACGCACTCCGGTTTACTTAACTAAACTTTTTTTCGCTTGGTAACCAAAAGTTTTTTTATTTTGGGTAATAAATTAGAAACCTTTAAAGTGAAACCCCTTAAAAGTACTAAAAAAGTTACAAAGTGCAGACAATGCAAGTTTATTTGGCGAAATTATTTATTGTTTGATTTCTATTCGCCTGGCGAAACTAAATAAATCCCAACTAATTAGAAGTTTTGTCAGCGCACAATTTCCACAATTTATACCTTTGTTTCAGTAAACCAATTTGAATTGCATTCGCTAGAATTAATTAGTTTTGGAAGTCAATTCACAAAGTATTATTTAATTTTTTTAAATAATATTTCTACACTTCATTAGCGATCAAATTTGTTGAATAATTTTTCTTTATTAAATTTCCATTAAAATTTCACTAAATGAAATATAAAGAAATAAAATAGTTTTTGCATTCTATTCTATGAAATAAAATATACTTCCAGGCGCTGTTGTCAAACTTCACAGTTACCAGTAATTACCATTTCCATTTCCTTCAATCATGAACTTAATATACATATTAAACTTTTAAAATATACATTTAATATATTTTAGAGGTATTAGCATTATAATTCAAAAGGCATAAGTTGCCTTAATTATTTAATTTAATTTCCATTCTAATAACCATCATTATATGTTATTGCACTTCAGCTGACAATTTTGCCACACTTGACTTGCCTATGTATACGACCTCTGACACCCACATAAAATTTGCCCCGCAGGCCAGTTATTATTATTAATTCAATATATCAATTGAAATGACAAGACTTTTAATTGGGCTGATTTATGCCAACATTTTGACATAACACTCGACGCTCGTGTCTAAACCTAAACACACAAAATATGCTAATAGAAGCAACAATAGCAGTTAAATGAATCTAATTAAATGCAACAGAGAGAGAGAGAGAGAGAGAGAGAGAGAGAGAGAGAGAGAGAGAGAGATTGTGATAGAGACATATAAAAGTGAGCTAAACAATCAGTTGGAATCGGTGTAAAGTGCATCAATCAAATGCAACAACGAACAAACTATTTGGAAGCCAGCTAAAATGTAAGTGGCTTTTGTGTAAGCTCATTAAAATGATTACACTCAAATGCACACACACACTCACGCCCACTCACGCCCACATGGCACGCCCCCAAAATTAGACACACTCATACAACAAAATACGCGACACAAATTGTCTATTGTTGTTGTTCCATCTGTCTGTCTGTCTCTCTATGAAATGGCATGCAACAAATTTTTGCCACAATTCCCTCGCGAACATTACGGGTATTCCCCCGCATGCTACAAATGTTTAGTTATGCATTAGGCTTGTTGTTGTTGCTATTTTTGTATATATGTATTTGTATTTTATTTTTCCATTGCCGGCAGCACTTTTGTTGCAGCAACAACAACTACCTGTTTTTTTTTTTTTGCTGTTTTATTGTTGCTTGGCTTACACAACAAACTACAGAAATATTGTTGCATGCACAATGAACAGACATATGTGGCAGCTAGTTTCATTGCCATTGTCATTGTTGTGACGGCGAACTGCGACTGGGACTCAGATGTGCCACAGTTCTGCTGTCAGCCTGCATTGCGATGGCATGAGGCGAATTGCAGCAATGTTTGTGCAGGAATTTCTTTTCCCCTTTTGCATTGTTCGAAGGTAGAAAATTGTATGCAGCACTGTTGCCAAACTTCCTATTACATATTTAAAACGGCATACATATGTACCATGTATTTCTTTGCATGCCCATGTTTATATAGGTACAGGTAGCAGCGCAACATTCAAGGATTCATGCGCTGTTGTCGCATTTCAGCTCAAAGTTTTGGGATGCTCAAAATAAGGTGAAAAATTCGAGCTTTTTTTCAAATTTGAAGCAATGCATTAAGAATGTGCTGTAAATGAAAGATGAATGCGCTGTTGTCACATTTCATTACAGCTCAGACTGCTTAAATGTAAATACAATTCTATTGCGTCTAGGTCTGTCAAGTATAAAGCTCTTGCGCTGTTGCCCAATTTCTGTTGAGCTGATTACAGCCTGATGCCAATTGAGAATCACTGCACTGTTGCCACAAATCAATTTGACTTATGTCACTCAATTCGAATTAAATAACTCTAACAGTTCGACAATCAAATGAAAATCAACAGCCTGTTGTTGTCACATTTCAGTAGCTTCTATAAAAGGAATAGTTACTTTCAATTGTCGTAAAAATTATAAATTATATATGCGCTAATACCAAACTTTTTATTGGCTTTTAATACTAGTAAACCTTAGCCAATATATTATCAGCTTATATATCATATCCATATTTCAAAAGCTTTTAAAATCGAAATACCAAATTTAAGCACAATCGTGTAATGCTACCAAGCTTCACTTGGGATATAATAACAATATACTATTCTGCTAGAAACTTCATTACGTTTCCCCCAAGCAATATCTATATCTATAGAACAACGTAATCAGGTATTAATAAAATTGTCTATATATATGTTATTTAAGCCATTACGGCATTAATAATAAAATACCTTTTAAAGCCTTAATTGTTACGATATATCATATGCACATGTACATATATATGTATATATATATATTTGTACAAGATTTATGTTGTGTTTAATCTTTAATAAAATTCCTTTTAAAGCTTCAATTGTTATCATAATGCATATTTTAGGATAAGATTTATGCTCTACTTTATCTTTTCATTCTATTAAATATGCAAAGCACCCAAAACTCTTTCGATTCAGCCACACTCAACTCGTTAGCACTTTAATGCACATTTGTTGATGGCTATTAAGCCACTGTTGCCAAACTTCAGCTCACAAAGCTGTGCGAGAAAAATGTAAGCTACATAACGCTGTTTATACGACCCAAAAACTCTGTGACAATCTTTATTTGTTTTTGCGCTTTTTTCTTTGACAAGTTGAGGCCGCGAACACGCGGGGACCAAGAAAATTATTAGCAAACACTTGGGGAATGGACACTGCTCAGCTGTCGTAAAAGCCGAACTGAAATGTTATCAAACATATTGTCAAGGTCGATGCGGATGAAAGAGATAGAGGGGCACAGAAGGAGAGTGAGAGGGAGAGGGAGAGCATATAAATCATATGACAAAGTTTTGAGCAGACTCCCCATGCACTCCCTCGTCCGCTTCCCCCTCCTTTGCCAACCCTCGTGTCTCTGCACTTCCATAATAACGGTGAACATTTTTCACTTTTCTTATTTGACTTACCTTCGCGCACATTCTCGTAGGCATCCTCAACATGCGACTCCTTATAGATAATGGAGTGGAAATCAAGTTCATCCTCGTTTCTCTTTGTCGTTGCTGTTGTTGTTGTTGCTTCTGTCTGTTTGGTGTTGTTGTCCGTTGGATACATTGGGAATGTGTTTGCTGTTGTTGTTGTTGTTTCACCAATTTGATTCATAAAGTTTTCTCTCTTATTATCAATGGCAGTTTTAGTCAGATTGGACCCCGTTGTTGTTGGAGCTAATGTTGTTGCGGTGGTCTTTGTCGTCGGCATCGACGTTGACGTCGACGTCGACGTCGTCGTTGACGCTGACGCCGACGTTGTCCGATTTGTGGGAAAATAATGTTTGGCATGTTCAACATAATAGGCATCACGTTCCGTTATAATTTTACCCTCGAATACCCCATTGTGTATGGAACCAAATACATAACTATTACGATCCCCTATCACATCGCCCTCATAGATATGATCCGTTGAGACATCAATGGGGCCGTTGTTATCATAAAACTGAAAGATATTATATTATATATATATGATATATTAATGGGGCCTCTGCAATACTCACGTCTAACTTATCACTAAATGTATTTAAATCACGTTTTAATCTAAGATGGAAATCTTTTCCATGTGCTGCAAATTTTATATATACAAAATGATCTTTGGTCACCGATCGACGCGCTCTATTGTGACTAGCTCTGACGTGCTCATGATCATAGTTAAGTGTTTCATAGTGGGATATGTATTCGTTGAGACGTTTGTGACCTGTAAAGAGTTAAGAAACATTCGTAATTAGTACACGAATTTTTATTATAATATATATTTTTGATATATTTGTAATGAGTATTGTATTGTATTAGGTATTAGGTTGAATATAATATTTCTATAATGTTACAACAAATTATTTTATATTTTAAGCCCTTCTTTTTTTTTATACCCTGAACCCATTGAAAATGGGAAATCAGGGTATAATGGTTTTGTTA